GTGGAATTTAATTTGAATTTCCCGCGTTAAGGAGATTCTACTGTGCCTGCAGGAATCCCCTATTTTTGGCTCACTCGTCACTGAATTAATTTGGGGTTAAAGTGAGATATATTAAGGGGTTACATGTTTCTCGTTTTCAAAAAGTTCATTTTTTTTTTATATAATTTGAAAGGTATATGTTGGAGAAATATTTCAAGCCTAAAATGAACTTGAAAGTTGAATTACTGACGAAGTTACAGCTGTTCGAACGAAACTTTTTTCTCGAAATTGAGACTTTTATCCCGCGTATTGAGATGAAGGCTTGAATGTATATGGATAGTGCCAAAAATTTCACGTTCATGGTTCACACAATTGCGTTCGTTCTAATTGTTTATTTCAATTAGTAGACTTGGTCTGTATTTTCAAAATCAAAAAAATAGTGATCCATCGATGTTTCATTTTTGATCAAATTTTTTCTTCAATTTCTATCGTAACATTTACTACCATAAATCCTCAAATTGATTGCAAATATACGTTATCGAATAAGTAAATTTTATTTTTAATTAAAAAAAGCTTTTATCATATATACTTGATATTTTACTTTTTGTATCGGTATATAATTTAAGTATTTAAAAAATTTTTTCATTTATATGTTACTTTTCTTTGAACTAATAGTAAATGTTATGTTTTTCTTTGTGAAAATTATACAACACAAAATAAATTCTAACGAGGTGACTTTTTTTCATATTTGCAGCTTCAGTATTTCAAGTTTTATCAGTATGCAAAACGTGGTGGAAAATTCAGCGTTACACTTCTGGACCGTTCCTTATTAGAGCAGAACTATAGATCGGTTACTAGAATCATCCTATACAATTAAATGAATTCCTCCTACTGTTTGGAAAGTTCGTATAATTATGAGTATGAATTTGTTTCGAGGCGAGAAACCGTTAGCTAGATTGTACAGTGATTTCCCATTCCGGGATTATAATTGGAAGAGATCGCAAAATAGCAAATTAATCCGTAGTGATGTAACATCCAAGTTAGTCAAACGCCGTAGATCTGTAATTCAACGCGAAGGGAGAACAGTTTTCTCACGGTGCGAGATATTATAGAATTGAGAGATCATAATTAACGATTTGATTAATTCTTCCCGTTAATTACACAACAATTACGTTGCAATCGTTGCTTGATGGTTTACGAAATTTCCGCATTAATCATTTTTTTTTTAAACTAAATTAAACACGAAGAATCGCTATGAAACGTATACCACATATTTTTTCATTGAAAAAATTTCATCGTATCATTTTTGCTAATGGCTCCTCGTTAATTGAGATTTACGGTGAAACCGGAAATTCTCAGATAGAAATTAATGGCTGTAAATCATAGAGATTATTTAAACAAAAAGAACAATAACAACAAGGGTATAATAGTAAATGACTTTACGTGGCACAGAGGCAAAGTTTCAGCGACAATTTCTGCGAATCAGCGGATGCGCCGTTGTTGAGAGCAGTAGAAAGTCTGCGTCGTGGAGATCTCACGATTTTCGATTCATAGCACGACCTTCCCACGTGCAGTGGACTGTGCATCCATCTCCACGGTGTGCAACACAATGTGCTCATCTTATCCTGATCTTTATTTATCCCCAAGCTGAGACGTGATATTGCGAAACAAGTGTCGCCCGACTCTTTTTCATTCCGCTCTTTCTCTTCCATAGCACTCGCTTCGTTAGTCACGCGTCTGCCACGATTTCCTCTCTAATTACCCAACGCTCTATTCGTTCACTAGCACTGCCACCGGCACAGGATACGACGCTTTATTTGCGTTCTGTCAATCGATTGGATTATTAGTAACTGTTGTTAGCGATCGTTAGGTCGAGGAATGAATAATTGTTAAGATAATAGAAAATCCTCCAGAATCGATTTGGGCCACGAATTTACAAATTGTGCAACAGATTTTTCTTGTATTAGTTGTCTCTAACACGTTCCGTGCCTCGAGAGAATTACGAGTTTTCCTGAAACGATGAAACGAAGTGTGTAAAAGGCACGTTAAAATATTTAATTATAGAAAAGTACCGGTAGGGTTGAATTCTTGACACTTTAATCTTCCTTTGCACGTGTTTCCCACGAGTCGAAGAATATTCCTTTTTCGATGAATAAAAATTCCATTTCTCAAAACACACGACACGGAATGTGTTAAAATAACCTTATCTGTGCATCAAGCTTAAGTAGTCCCGACTGTGCTACAATATTACAAGAAATGTTTAGCAACGTAAATAATACTAGAACTGTAAAATTGTTATACACAATTGAAGCTTTACTTGAATATTTTCAAGCAGGCCTGTCCATGGAAGGGGCCCTTTACGTCGTATACTCTCCTACCAATTGTAACGAGCGAAGTAGAAGTAGAGATGGTTGTTTTCTGTGCTTCCTATGTGTGCCGTTCGTCCTTCGCGTAGATGTAGAATTGGCGCCATGGTTTCCATAACAACGGGAAAACGGAATGCGGGAAACTGAACCATTTGTGGGCGTTCGCATGGACAGGTCTGTTTTAAAGCCTTGTTCACACATCACACTTACTTTCATCTCACTCAAATTCTGTATTATTGAAAGTATCACACATGATGAATATGACGATGATGATGGTGATGAGGTTAATTACGAAATCGTATACGGTTAAGTATGAAGAAACAGCGTAATTTGCATTGAAAAAAAAAATATTTTTGAGGAACAGTTGTGTTGAGATAGTTCATAGAAAAAATATGGATGCATTTGCATGATGTTTGTTTCGTAGCTGTCTTTATTGTTATTTTAGTATACATTTGTGGTTGGAATTTTAT